GGATGTCAAGAATTTTGACTCAGCAATGAGAAAAGTAACTAAGATACATAGTCAAATGCCCATTCATACTATTACATGCCTTGGAGTACCAGTTCTTTTCCTTTTTATTACCAAGTAGCATTCAATTGTACAGAAATACCATATTTTGTTGATTTATTCATCAGTTGATGAAAATCTGGGTTGTTTCCAGACTTGGACTATTATGAACATTCACACACAAATATTTTAGGGAAAATATATTTTTAGAGCCAGTGGATATATAGTAAAAGTTGATTTGCAGGGTCTTTTGGGAAGTGGAAGTTTATTTTTTCAAGAAACTGACAACTCTCATTTCCAAATACACCAATCATTTTAGATCCTTGCTAGCAATGTAAGAGGGTTCCAATTGCCCCACATTCTTACCAATTTATATAAGTGTTGGTCTGTTTAATTTTAGTTATTCTAGTGGGAGAAAAAACACACTTCAACTTGGACATGTTTTTTCACATGACTTGAGCTAATAGTCTGGCTGTAAACTCTAATCTCGTGGTGGCTGAGATCAGAGGTCTTGAATTTGCATGACTGCAGGCCTCCTACCTTTCTAATCAAAAATAAAGCAAGTCTTCATCAATTACCAAAAACTCCATCTCCTTGTTACTGTAAACTTGGATCAGTTAAGTTTATGAGAGTAACGCATCATATGCAGTTCAACCCACATACAGTTGAATAAAATATATGTTTGTGCTTCTTGAAAATGGTATGTGTTGGGATGGCATGGAGATCAGGGATAGAATTAGTTGTGAAACTTCCTTTTTTGTGAGGAAGCTAATCAAAGAGCTATTGTACCACTGGCTCTTTTCTCTCTTTTTTTTTTTTCTTTGACCTGAAAAGACAATGTGCAGGCTGAGTTTAAAACTATTTCTTGATAACTGCAAGGACAGGAAGCAACTGCTCCAGTAATTAGGACATACTTTGGTGTGGGCTGTGCCCAGGGAAATGAGATACTTATATGTAAGGAAAGGAAATTTAAAAAACCCCAAGAAACTCTATAGTGTAAGGTCTATGCTCAGTATGTGGGGAGATGGGCTGTGTTCTCGTTAAGAAGCTTGTACTAGAATAAAAATTGTCTGGGTTCAAATTTAGGTCTTCAGTTTATCAGCAGTGTGACCCCAGATGAGTCATTTAATGTCTCTGACTTCCTTATCTGTAAAATGAGTAAGTAATATTAAGTTACCTACTGTGTGGGAACCTTGGATCCAAACAGCACCATGGAATCCTATTAGAGGAGCATTTTGCAGTAATTTGTACACAGTACATTTGTACTTCTCGTGTCTTTTACCTTGTGTGATGCCAAACAACCCAGGGAGGTAGGACAGTAGTTGTTACCCCATCACACAGATGACTAAAGTGTGGATCCGAGACTGTAAGCACAAAATGAATCTGTGTGATCCAACATACAAGAAAGACTTCTATTTCCTGGGAAATAGCTTATTATTTTGTGTTTAAATTCTTTAATATTATGTCAGATGTTGTGCTATTGTTCTTAATGCTGTATTTGGAAAGGGCCACACTCATGTACTTACGTAACCTCTGTGGCCAGTTTTTCTTTTTCTTTTTTCTTTGTGTTACAAAGGCAGAACTGAGTCATTGTAAGAGATTTTGTGGCTTGCAAATCCTACAATATTTAGTATCTGGTTCTTCAAGAAAATTTTTTCTAACCTCTATTTTCTCTACTTTTTCACATATTAACTTATCAATCCTCCCAACAATGGCAGTTTTAGAATACCCACATCATACTTGACGAGACTGGAAACGGTAGACTGACTACATCAAAGTCCAACTGAGTAAGCGGAGGAGCTCATGTGTGAACCCAGGTGGTCTGGACCCAGAGCCCATGCTCTTTATCACTTTAATCACTGGCTCCTCCCACTTCTCTTGGGCTATATATCATTTAGTCAACAAACATTCATAGAGCAACTAAGAGCTGCAAGGCACCATTCTAGGGGTTGGTGATGGACTAGGTCAAGTTCTTATGGTGCTCACATTCAGGTGGTGGAATAAAACAATTAACAAATAACCAAATAAGTGAGCAAGGTTGTTTCAAAAAGTCATGGTAACTATGAAAAAAAAAAAAAAAGAAAAAAACAGCCCACAGTTTCCGGGTGCCTTACCTGCAGTCCCAGCTACGGGGGAGGCTGAGATAAGAGAATCACTTAAACTGACAAGTTCCAGACCAGCCTGGGTAACAGGAAAACCCCACCTCAAATCTTTTTAAAACATTGTTTAAAAAGACATAGAGATCAAGGGCAAGGAAGTGGGTGAGAAAAGATGTGGGAAAGAAGTTGCCAGGTATTGGATGCACAGATTGAACAAGTTTTGACAGTGGTCTCCCTGAGGGAGAACCCTTACACTTCTCACCGCTTTGTCTCTCCAGTAGCGGGCACAGAATGGGCCTCCAAAACCCACCTGAGTCTGATTGACCTGTCCTCCACCTGCCTGGCCACTGCCCTTTTTCTACCTCTTGATCCACCTCTGCATTGGTAGGTTTACACGATTGTTCTTCCACACCAACTAATGCGCATCTAACAGATGGGGTCTCTGACTTAAAAATTCCACAGTTCAAAGTCCTACACAGAGGGGAACCTTAAAAATGACTTCTGAATATTTTCAGATTCATCAGCTGGCCTGGTGTCTTTATAAAATAGCCATGTATAGGTTAAAATACTGCCTGTTGTCCACAGTTTTCTCCCCTCATCTAAGGTAGGAGGAGGGAGCCATAGTTGTTTGCAATAGCAAGTAATATACGAGTCCAATGAGCTTCCCTGTGAGTGGCCAGGGGCACTTCCACATGGCTGATCCATTCGCCTTGCCCTTTTCCTGAGGTTTGGACTCCAACCTTAGGGTGTAGAGGTAGGAATGGAGGAAATAATCGAACTGCCCAGAGGTGCTACACAAGGAGGGTGATGCGTTGATAGCTGATTGAAGGTTGGTTACAAATTGACATATAAATTTACATGAAGCACAACTTCCCAGAAATGATCTGGGTAGAAATGCCAACTACTCGCCAAACTAGTCCTTTGCAAATGAGAGTAAACCGGAGCCCCCATAGGGTAGGATGGAAGGAATGATCAAATATCTAGCAGGAACATGACATGATGTGGGCATGTCCAGTTCTGGCCCCCAGCTGGACCTTGTGCAACTTTTGCAATTGTCTTAAACAGGCTGACTTCATGACACTTGTCTTCTGCAGCAACTGTGAATGTCAACACCCCCCCCCCCCCCGGTTTCACACAGTTGGTTTCACACAGTCTGGCCAATGCTGCCAACTTTTTCCCTGCTGATGCCCACAGTTGCCTATGTCATTTCTCTTTGGCTGTTATCTCCTTTGATGCTTTCTTTTGTTTGTCCTCTTTCCTCATTCTTTTATTCCTATCACTACTAAATTTCACTCTTTTGAAGCTGTGCTGTTGCCTGGAAATTTTTGTTCTTAATATAAGGCTTTTTCCAGGAAAAACTGAGCAGGAATCCTAGAGACCAAAAAACAGTGCCTTTTTTACATGTATTAATTTTCCAGGGCACTCATAACAATTACCACAAACTGGGTGACTAAATATTAATTTATTTTTATACTGTGCTAATGTTTGGATGTCTGAACTCACAGTTTCGGCAGGGCTTTCCTCCCTCTGCAGAACCCTTTCTTGCCTAGCTCAGCTTCTAGTGGTGGCTAGCAGTCCCTGGGATTCTTTGGCCAGTGGCAGTTTCACTGCAATCTTTGCCTCCATTGAAACATCGCCTTCATCCATGTATGCATCTATGTCTCTGTGTTCAAGTCTCCCTTCTCTTTCTCTTATGAAAACTACTAGTCATTGGGTTTAGGAGCCACCTAATCCAGCTTGACCTCTTCTTCTTCACTTCATAGTAACAATATCACAAAAGATTTAGGACTTCAGCATGTCACTTTGGTGGACATCATTGAGCCCACTACAAAATGCATTGGGTTTAGCAATGGGAGGACACGTTGGACCAACATCATACTAACACACAGGCTGAACTTTAAAGCCCATCTACAATAAGGAAGGGAATGGATTTGATGAGATGGCCTTGGGGAATACAGGAAAGCTACAGCTATCATACTGATAGCTCAGCCCAACTTTTAGAGAAATAGCTGCTTGATCGACAGACCCACTCTTTCTGAGAAAATAACAGGGCCATAGTGGTGACTGTGCCTGCCATCAAGTGTCTCCCAGTGGGAAGCAAGAACTGAGCACAGCCTATTGGCTTCGTGGATTTGGGGATATCAGCAGTGTGCTCTGGGTCCTCCTCAGTCTTTGCTCCATGAGGGCGAGCCCTTTCACCACTCCTCAGAGGTAGCAACAGTGGTCCAGAGGGGCGGTGCAGTGAAGGACATAGCAGCTGTCAGGAACTGGGCTGAAAACATGTTCAGGCAGCCACAAAGGCAGCCAGGACATGTTGGGGATAGTTATCCAGGGCCACGCTCAGCACACTGAGGACTAGGAGTGTGGCAGCTGCCAGTGACGCCTGATCCCCACTGGCTGCCAGAAGGAAGAGCATCTTCAGGCCTCAGTTTTATTATCTCACCTCGACTTTTACCTGTGGCGTGTTACCTTCACAGACACTGTCATTTTAAATAATGTACTTTCCACTTCCAAGACAGGATAGCTAAATCCAAAAGCCTATAAGACAGTAAATGGCAGGAAGGGATTTAAACTCACAGGTTTATGGTGTCAAAGAATGGTGTTGGTTTTTTTTTTTTTTTTTTTTCCCTCCAAAATTCTTTGTGCATCTCACTAATCAATGAAGAACACATGGTCTCTCCTGAGGTAAAATACATCTCTTGTTGTTTCATTATATCATGATAATTAGTATGATAATATGCACTGCTTCATGGGACTTTTCATTTCAACTGGTCAAAGTAGAAGAAACTCTCTTCTCAAACCTGGTCTGCATCAAATAAGGTACAAGGGGTAACAAGTAGTAACTGACTCAAGATATTAGAGGCAAAACAAAAGTTTATTGAAGATTTCAGAGGAGATGCTCAGGGAATTAAAGTAACAGTTGACAAGGTGAGGTATTTTAAAGAACGGAGAATTGAAGAAAGACCGGCTTTTGAGGACTGTAGACCTCATTTGGAGTTGCACACAGAAGACTGTTCAAAGGTAAAAGTCAACATCTCTGTGTCTTCTCCTTAAAATTTCCAAGCTATCACTACAGATTGTCCAACAGGCATAGATAGGTCAGCCACCAAGTCAGATAGTGAAGTAAGGGCCTCCTTTGGCTACTGGCATTCATTTTTCTGCAGTTGGGGTGGGATGGAGAAGACCTTTTCCCATGAAGAAAACAGAAACTACGAGGCGGGTAAAGTAACCGCAACCATTTTGGCTCCTGTTTGTATGTGCATGTGCACTAGAGCAGATAATCGTCACACAAAGAGATAATCAGAAGGACAGAAAAATCGATAAATTTGTTAAAAGATAAATAAATATGCACGTAAGTAGGGGCCCCAAATGCCTTCTGGCAGTTTCAGTCTTCATAATGATAAACTTATATAGAAGATACAATTTCTAAAGAAAGTCCTTGTCATTTGTACATTTAACTATTCTAATATCTCTTCCCCAAAATATGAGTTGTGATTGAAAAAATAATATGAATTTTAAATTTAGAAAAAGAATTATGGTAAAAGACCTATTGCTGTTAATCCCCCTCAAAAGAATGCCCCTGGCTTTGAACGCATGTATCCCATCCTTCTTGCCAATTTCTGAAGCATGTTTGGAAGTCCTCTTTCAAGAGTGTCCTCAGTTATGCTATCCTGGCTAACTGGATGTCCTGAATCAATTCAAAAGGTACAGTGCATCTTCCCTACTGGCCCGGCACATTTTGAATTGATTCAGGACGTCAAGAGAACCAAGAGAGCATTACTAGAGACGCTCACCAAAGGCTTCCAGAAATGCTTCAGAAAGTGGCAAAAATGATGGAATAAGTGTGTTCAAAGCCAGGGGCATTACTGTGAGAGATGTTAACAGCAATGGGCTGTTAACTATAATAATTTTTAAAAATTTAAGTAGTCACAATATTCTTGATCACACCACATAAAGTCTGGGAACTGTCCATAATACATTCCAAATTGTCAGGTTTTCATTTTTGTTCCTCAGTGGGAGATGACAAAGAGTGACAAACAGGAATTAAAAATTATATTGGAAATTGCTGAGAATTAAACAAGTCACATGTCAGGTAAATAATTAAATGTACAAAGGATACCTTCCAAAAATTGGTGAGACTTATGATTTTAAAGTTATTAAGATTAAAGTGGCACTCTGATTGTGGGGACACCTCTATGTACACCTTTTACCTTCCTTCTTAGCATGACTGTATACGTTTGTAAACCTACACATGCGCAAACTTAGAGAAGCCAAAGGTTGGGTTTTAGTTATTTTTTGTTCCATCCATAAAGTTACATGTCCTTTCCTCAATCAATTTATGTTCAACCAAGTAATATGCTGAGAAGTAGATCACAGTTCACCATGGGAGACAGTCTGTCATCACTGTTATAGAAACAGCTAGAGAGAATGTATCAAAGTATTAAAGTACATTTTGAGGAAAATAAGTGTCTGGGAGTGAATGCAGGGCAGATGAGGCATTACAATCGGCACTGCCAAAGTTCTGTATGTTTTGACATTTCTTGCATCATGTGTGTATTTGCAGATGTTAATGTGGGCAGTAATAAAGTTGAATGGTTTCAGGGCTACATGGTGAGTCTCTGAGCCCTGTTTAAGCTAACATAAAATATAGAGAAGCTGTCTCGATGAATTTGTGCTGACTTTCTTCTTGTCTTTTAGGAGCTGAAAGAGTGTTTATTTATAAGCATCACCCCCCTGGAAATGTTTGTTTTGGCGCTGAACCGAAACTGCTCAGCTGCATTTGGCACCCGACCTTGGGGGAAGAAGCTGGACATTGTATGGCCAAGAGCACAGTCTGTGTTCCTGTGGTTGACTTTTGGAACTGGTTTTGTTTCTTTGTGATCAGGGGTCGTACTTGATTTCTCGGGGGCTGGTTTTGGATGAAACAAAAAAAAGATTCCTGGTGGCCCCATAAACTATTGCCTCTTATTTGTATCAAGAAATATGAGTGATTTCATTTTCAGTGAATAAATAATTAAAAAACCACCCAAAATATTATCAGAAAAACTACCAACACGCAGAAAAGAGTCGCTAGATAGCCCTGAGATATTTTGTTTATCTCAATATTCTGCCTCCTTTGAATCTTCTTTGTCTTCCTCTTTGGCTTTAGTTTGGCAAGTGCGAGGTGAAAATTAAGGCACTCGATAGCCTCCTCGCCCGCATGCTCCACGTGCCTCTTCAGCGATTCCACTGTGGGGAAGAGTTTGTGGCATCCCATGCACTGGAATTCATCTTCCAGGCCCACCGGCTCATCCGGGGCTTGGATGCTGCCCCCTGCCTCCTGATCCCGAGGCCCTGATGGTCTCTCAGCCTCTTCCCTTTGCTCCTGGACTTCACTGGGGGAGCTGTCCTCACTATCACTTAAAGTGTCCCTTAGGGAAGGGAGGCTGAGCTTTGGAAGCAGCTTCCTAGGAATGCTAACACTTGCTGCTCTTATCCTCTTTTGGGGCGGCTCCAGGTCTTCTGCATCCCCTAAGGCATCTGCACCCCTTTTCTTTGGGACTTGCATGTAGTAAACTTTCATGACGCGTTTCTTTTCAGAAGATTCTGAAGATGATGAGTGGCTATCCAAGAAGCATGGGGAAGGGGAACGCAAGTTATAACGTAATTTCTCCCTTTCCATCATGTCTTCATCTAAAGGCATCTCCGGTGATCCAAGACCTGCAACATATTGAGGTAACTGATTTCAAAACTAAGGAGATAGGGTCTGGGGATTTAGCTCAGTGGCACAGCGCCTTCCTGGCAAGCGCGAGGTCGTGAGTTCGATTCCTGGTACTGGAAAAAAACCCACCCCCCCACCCCCACAAAAAAAAAAAACCAAAAGAAAAAACCCAAAAAAAAATTAAGGAGATAAGATGCCAGCAGAATGTCTATGGGAGTGCCTGTGTGGAATTGTTATTTGAAGTGTATACTTTGCATGGCTATAAGGAAAGTGGGTTGTGCGGTTTCTCTTGGAGACCGATTTTCTCTATTGTTATCTCTACCTTTAGCTCTACTTCTGTCTCTCTCTGTCCTGTCCATTTCCACCTGCAACTCCAACTCAACCTACACCTCAGTCTTTATCTCCATCTGCATCTTTATCTCCATCTCCATCTCCATTCCATCTCTGCCCCTATAGCTGTACACACACTGGTACATATCTGGTGAATGCTTCTGGTACTGGAAAAGTGAATAGTAACACATGTACTCATGTGTGTGTGGCAGTGTATTATGTGGAATTATGGTGCCCGTGACCCATTGTGTGATTGTTTGTTAGATGGTGTGAATGAAAGGAAGCTGTGTGCGCTACAAGGAGCCACATGTGCTAGGGGAAATGTTTTCTTTTAATTTTTTTTTTTTAAGAAAAAAAACAAAGACAAAAACAAAAACAAAACACAAAAACTATATAAACGATACAGTAGGGGAAATATTTTGACCTCAGCACATGCAGCTCTATAAAGGGCTGAAAGCCTGGTAAAAGAAGTGATAATTAAGCAAGAGAATATGCATTTTAAAAGGCATCCAGTTCTTGTGATGTGTGTAACATGCAAAGTCAAAACAGGTTATCCATGTGAGATGATCTGTAGCTCTTCAAGGGATTCGTGTGTAAAGTGGTAGATTGAGAATGGCTATATGCAGGGATGAGGGTGTAAGGCTGTGCCTATGTAATGCTGATAAGGAATGGGACACAAAACGAGTGAAGAAGGAAAGAAGTTACAGGCCTCTCCTGTGCGTAAAGCAGTGTGACATGTGAGTGTGTGAGGTTGGTTTTATGCCGAACAGATGGAGAAGTGCTGAGCATTTCCCCTACACATGGCTGCAGGATCCGCTGCCTCATCCACACCTGTCTCAGTGTTCCCTGGGAAACCTGTGCTGAGGAGTTTTGTTCTTTTCTTCAAGGCATATTTCCTGTATGTCCATTCCCAGTGTAGTCAGATTTGTTTGCTCTGTGGCCCTTTGATCTAAGTGAAGGGAAAGTGAGGCAAGTAGGCTTTGGACAAGCAGCTCAGCAGAGCGCGGGTCACCTTCACATTTGCCTTACCATCTTGCTTCGTAAGGCTGCAGTGGCCAGAAGGAGAGACTCCGGAGCAATCCTCTAAGTTGGTGGAATTCTCTTCTGCTCCTTGACGCAAGCCTAGGATTTAAGGAGCAAAATAAAAATGATAGAGAACATAGAAGTAGGGGTTCTAGCCTTGGAGGGAAAGACAAAAGAAGTGGGTATAAAAAGAACTAACATGTAATATATGGATATACAGCCTCCATACGATGTATGTTGTTAGTATGTATTATAAGCAAATACCAATAAAAATATTTAGAAAAGAAAAAATCCAGAGCTATGTGAAGATCTAAAATATATGAGCAGAGTGTGTAAGATGAAGTGGCTATTAATGATGTAGAAAATAAAAAGAACTACTGTATTCTGTTTGGTTAAGATAGAAAGATAGAGTCTACTAATTTTACCAAACAACATGTGTTAGTGTACCGAAATATAGGCAACAGAATATTCAAAACATCGTCTTACTCTCTTCGTAATGAAAACAATCCTAATGTTCAACAAAGTTTAGTCAGTAATCAATTATTTCTATTCTTGTAATGGAATATATGCAATTATGAGAATTGACAAACAGAAGTCAGCTGCAACATGAACAATAGCCACACATATAAACATGAACTAAGAGGAATCAGACGTGAAGTATAGAATTTGCCCTTCTATTCACACAAAGTTTACAAAACTGACAAATAAATAAAAAACACAGAGATAAGGAATGTAGTGTCATCAGGAAGTCCGAGCAGTTACCACTGTTTGGATGGTAGAAATAAACACCGAGTCAGAGGAATTCCTATGCATCTGGAATAGTATGGCAATGAGAGGTGAGGCTAGGGACTTCAGATTGGCGTGTGTAACAATATGTTTGAGAACACTGAGTATGAAAAACCTACGGATGTGTTGTGTTCTTGGGTTGGGTATCTGTACCTTATCTCAGAGGCATTTATGAGGACCCTAATATTTTGGACCAGGCAGTCTGCCGTACTCGACACTGGGTCAAACTGACCTGCCACCCCTATGTGTCTCTGATCACACTCTCGTCTCCTCAGTAATTCTCCCACCATTTGCTGAGCAGAACCCAGTACTCCACTGGTTTTGCAGTTCTCTCTTGCATTTTTCTTTTGGTATTTATTGCTCCCACTGCTGCTTACTATAGCTGCCTGTGTAAAACTATGTGGAGGAACATTTCAGTTTCTTCCTGGGCAGCCTCGAGTCAAGTGATTGTCAGAGCCATTCAACTCAGTTCCGGGATACCGAGCCCCTTGCTTACTTTCTGCATCTTGTTTAATCATTACTTCATACCTGCACCGATGGATTTGTCTTCATAAGAGAAGCGATTCGAGGAATCAATAAAGGTCTCTTCCTGGTCTCGAGCTGGGGCCACTTCATTGTTTCTCCCTGGCAGGTCATCTTGAGAATCTAAGTCTTCTGAAAAATAGAGTGAGAGACATGATTCTAGTTGGGTGTTAATGGGTATTTAAGTAGTATGGTTTCCATTACTAAAATATTTAAATGTAGGATGCAATATTGACTTCTCAGATCACTGTATTTGTTGCCTCCCCTCATTCAGCTTGTCCAAACTGCTGTGCTGTACTTAACTGAGCTACTTTGTGTTGAACTATGATTGTATAATTATATTTCCTACAAAGGAAAATGAGGAGAAGTGGCACGTGCCACTTCTATGACCACACAACCCTCTACGTCACTCTGTGAACTTTCCTTTTGTGGTGGAATGGGACATTGATAACCCTTGGTCGGCTTGAGTGCTCTGTGTCTATGATGACTGTTTTCTTCCACCTCAGCCTATGAACTGACCTGCTGACAGCATATGCTGAGCTCATGCTCATGGAAGATGTAGCCCATCGTGTACCAGTTACTGCACCTTGGTCTGTTCTGATCAAACAGGTTGTGACATGTTATTGAGAGACAGTCTGATTTGGTGGATAGTAAGGAGGTTTGATCTTATGTTTGATCGTAATATTTATCTTCTCCCAGCCTATTTTGCTTTGTTTTTTGGTTTGTGGAATTAGTAAGTGTGAATATGTGCTTTAGATATTTCCTAATTTCTAATCACTGACATCTTTGAATATGTACTCATTTTATTGAAGGTGAACTGAAGCTGACTTCACTCTCCAGACCACTCCACACCAGGAACTGTAGCAAAACACATAGACCTCACACCTTGTTGAAAGCTTCAGACATTTCTCAGAGATAAACCACTCTTTGGAATGTTGGGCTTAGCTCCCACCTCTGAGCTATGGTCCTGCTTCACAGGAGTTAATTGTTTGCTGTCAATCTCCAAGGTAACCAAATGTTTAATTTCCAGTGTTTCCATAAAATGCCAAATCTCATTTACTTAATTAACTTAATTCACTATTCATGGTTAAATACTGTTTATGTTCATGTGAGCTTGTGTATTTCTTTATGTATATAACCTGTTTTTCTACCATTTCACGGAGGAGCCGTGCATGAACATGTTCATAGTCTGAAACAAAGTTTTCACTCTTGACAAAATAAGTTCTTTCTGATATTATACTTTTTCCTGCACATATAAGTGTTTCAAGGTTTTTAAAAAAGTATTTTCTTTGCTTCTGTGAGGCACAGTTTCTCTTTCAATGAAAGGTAAAAAGAATTCTGTTAGAAAATAACATGATTTGCTTCCCTGGTGCCCTTAAGGAAGAAGTCAAATGACAGAAAATGCATTTTCAAAGGAAAAATTTACTCTACAACTGTAACCCGTAAACCCCGAGGGACTCTCTACAGCTAACCTAGGCCTTTGACAAGAGAGAAAACATCTGGGTCGTCTTAAGCTTTTCTTGACTCTCAGACTACCTCCTCTCAGGAAGACACACACACACACACACACACACACACACACACACACACATGCTTCTCCCCTTCAGTCACTTCTCTCCCTCTTTCTCTCTTCTCTGTTACTGCACCACAAACTAGAAATCCTCTCTTATCCCTGTTTAGAAGGCAATTCCTGCTTCCCTATTCCCAGAATATGCTAACACTTACGTCTGGCTCTCTTCTCTGGCTGTTCCACAAGTGATGGCTCAAGGTGCTTAGTTTTTCTTTTATGCTTCATTATTTTACTGTGGATAATAACTGATATCCAGGTCAGCTTCTAAAACTCTGCTGTTGAAAATTTAATTGATGATGGTAAATAATGAAATTTGTATAACCAAAAAGCAGGAGACAACCCAGAAAGCTATCTGCTCAGTAGGACCTACTCCAGAAAAATGCTGTCCACACTGTGGTTGGTATCAGTTATGACAGAAGCTTGGCAGTGGTCTATGACCTATCCATGACATCCATAGAGTTCTGGGACCCACCCAGAATTCATAGCACTGCAGCACTGCTAAAACCCAGTGACTAGGTTGATGGTTATCATTTCTCTGATGGAAGTTCTATCATTTACTTGTACTTTCCTGTCTTTTTTGTTTGTTTGTTTGTTTTTCTTCCAGTACCAGGAATCGAACTCATGACCTTTTGCTTGCCAGGCAGGTGCTGTGCTGCTGAGCTAAATATCATCCCCTGTACTCTCCTGTCTTACACTTCATACCCAAATAGAGCACATATGATATTGATTAAACAGAAGGAAGCCTTTTACATGTCTAAGGGTGCAACATCACTACACCTCCCCAATGATGATGATACAGCAGCATCATTGAGGATTAGGCTTACTACCATGCTTATCTCTTAGGAAATAGTAAATGTATCTTCTTTATATTATTTAAATTATGTAGAGGCACATGTGAGATGCATATTGCAATATAGCTGTAGATTTGAAAATATCTCATATATCCATATAAATCTAGCATACATCCGTATAATTCTTCTGCTACTAGGACCATTCCTAGGTGTCTTCCCAAGCAGATATCTGTCCCTTGTCACTCTTCTTTGCCACTTCTTCATTGGTTGGCAGACAGATAACCATTGGTTTCATAAAACTTGGTCTTTGTGAGGAATTCTTTTCTCAAGGCTGAAGAGCTTGCTTCCCATGATTATGTTACTGCTCCTACCCCGACCTTTGGAGACATCTAAGTCTTGTACAGAATTTAAACTCTGACATACTTTATTTTTTCTCTCACTGTTATAGAATATATTGCACCTGTTAAGATTAATGCATGTTTCTTCTCAATCTTAGAAACTGCCATTGGATCCAGCCTGTGGCTTAGCCTCCTTCAGGTTCCTTTACCCCCAAAGTCCTGCCTCTGGTTCTCATTTTCCATGAGCACTGTAAACTAGGCATATTTACTAAAAAGTTCTTACTAAAGGCCTTATCTTCAAATGTCACCTGAAGAAGGGTTTTGAATCAGCTTTCCAGTTGCCTTGACAAAATACCCAACACCCACAACTTGCGAGAGGAGAGGTTTGTTTGGATCACACTTCCCAGTGTGTTCAGTGTATGATTGCTGGCTCCAAGGCAGAAACAGCATGGTGGAAGTGTGTGCTGGAGGAAGGTTGCTTATCCCGTAGCATCCAAGAAGCATACAGAGAGCCAGGAGCAGCCAGAGTTCAGAATACACCCTTATAGATCAACCCCTATGATCCACTTCCAAACTAGGCTCCACCTCCTAGCAGCACATCCAGCAGGAACTCATCAATGGCCGAGTCTCATGAAGAATGTAGTGCCCTATGATCCAAGAGCTTTCCAAAGCCTCACCATTGAATTTATTAGAGTTTTGTGGATCATTTTGGATGATACCATAATGTGTGGTCAGTTCTTCAATAAATGAATTGGGAAGGGATAAAATTTAGCCCATAGCAACCTCCCAAGGAACTTGCCAGTTGGGTGCTTTCCCTAGGTTTGCATAGTATGACCTTCTGGGTAGCTTGCTTTTCTGTGTTTTTTCATCCCTTCCTCCCTGTCATGCTTTTTTAAAAGTCATAGCTTTTTGACATAATGCTAGAGGCCTTTCTAGCAGTAAATTCATAAAAGCAGAATTTTGAAGCCCTTGCCTGAGTACGAAGTCCTGCTTTATGGGGAATTGCTCACATTTTGGCAAACTCTCCTATTTGCATCTTTATATTTCACACAACTTCCCCTGAATAAGGCACCTTCAAGATCCTCTCCAAGGAATGCTAATTCCAGCTGGTCTGGGACATCCAGCTTATGCAGCTCCTTTGTCACATAGCCCTTCCCTTCCTTTGAAGACTTAGTATTTCCTCAGTTAGGTCACACTTCACTTAATCCCAAATTAGTAATCTCATATCAAGAGGCAAGATGAGGACAAATCTGGAGTTAGAAAAGAATTGTCTTATAAGACATCTGCAGTAGTTGAAATTTTTCTGTAGTATTTAAGCATTGAGGAGCATTACCAAGCCCAGGTGGGTGAAGATTCTTGGGCCCATCAGCTGCCCACTGCTCTAGAGCTTAGACGACACAGGAATGAAGCCAGCTCCTAGTCCCATGATTCTCCACAGCAAAGAGCAATGGATTATCCACCCCAAAGACAGATAAGACTGAAGAATAGATGCCCACCCAGGAAGAGAGTCTCACTTTAGGCCTGACTCTGGACTCTTGTGTCTCCTGTGCTCTGGTGCAATGGGATCCCCAATGGACTGTGGCATTAGCTGTGGGCAAGACGGGCACCCAGAATGGAGGTATCTAGGTTAAGGTTGTCTCTCACGCATTCTTCCTCCAAAGAATGCGTGAGAGACAACTGTGGACCTTGAGGTGGATCTTTAGATTATTAATCTGGGCTCACTCTATTTTTTTGAGGTGGGCATTCATATGTATAAACTTCCCCTTTTCATTGTTTGCGTAGGTTCTCATGTGCCATCCTTGCATTGTGGTTTTCTAGTAGGAACTAATTTTTTCTGTGATACATTAATTATTTAAGAGTATTTTGTTTAATTGCCACATGTTTGCATAATTTCTTTGGTTCCTTTTTCTGTTGATTTTGACTTCAGTGCACTACGATGTAATAATATGCATGGGATAGCTTTGGCTCTTTTCATTTACTTTAGCATGCTTTATGGGCTTGTATGTAGTCTATTTTGGAGAAGATTGTGTATGTGACTGAGAAGAATATATACATTGTTGTAGTTTGGTAAAACACTCTATAGGTCGCTATTAAATCCATTTGTTCGAACGTAGGTTAACTCCATTTTTTTCTCTAGTTGATCTATTCATGATAGTAGAATATTAAGTTTCCCAAATCTAATTGTATTGATGTTTATCTAATCTTTTATGTCTAATAGTGTTTGTTTTATGAAGTTGGGTGCACTGTTGTATTTATTGTTTCATTGTATTTATCATCCTTATCTCTTTGTGTTGAACTGTTCCCTTAATCAATGCATATTGTGACCTTCCATGCTGCTTCTAAACAATTTTGGCTTGAAATGCACTTTATCTGAAACTTTGATACTCTTTCTTGTTTTTGCAGTCCCATTGCACAGAATATTATTTTCCACCCTTTTATTTTTTTAGTCTATGAATTTCATTTTGGATTAGATATGTTTCTTGTATACATAATACTGTTGAATTTTGGTTTTGATACAACTTGCTAATCTATATGTTCTAATTGGATAATTGATTCCATTGACATTGAGAGTTATTACTAAAGCACTGACATTCTTGTCACTGCTTTATTTCTATTTTCTTTTTTCTACCTTATGGCTAACTGCTTACCCTGTTGGTATTTTCATTCCATTATGATTTTGGGCATCATTGGCTCTGTGGTCTGTTTCTAGGATCATTGAAAAATGTTTTAAGAGCTGTTTTGTTAGTAATGAATTTCTTAAGGCCTCCTTTGTTATGGAAAAACTTTGCTTTTCCATCAGTTTTGAAAGATAGTTTTGCAGTATATGTTAGTTTTGATTGGCAGTTGTTTTCTTTTAGGGCTTGAATTGCTTTAAGCTCTCTTGACCTTTGAGGTTTGTGTTGAGAAGTTTGCTGTAATTTGTATAGGTTTTTCTTTAAAAGAAATTTGTTATTTTTAACATCTTTTTAGTATTCTGTCCTTGTTGATCATGGCTATTTGTGGTTGTATGTGCTGTGCTTGTATACATGTCAAATTCTTTTCCCATATTTGGAAATTTTCCTGCTATTATTTATGTAAACAGGTTTTTATGTCATTTGTGCTGTCTTCTGATTTTTTTAAACTAATTCCAATTAATCTTAGTCTTCTTTGCATCATCTATTAGTTTTTTGATTCACTTTCCATGTTCCTTTGTTGTTTATAAGGTATCTCTGAATATATGGTCACCTGCATCAGTCCTGTCTTCTAGTTCTGACACTGTGACCACATTTGTCATTTCTGCTGACTATATTTCAATAGAAATATTTTATGCATTTCTGTTTGGTACGTTTTCATTGATTCTAATTCTTTACTAAATTGTTCACTCATGTTTTGTATTATATTGTGTAGTTCAGCTAGTTTTTTATGAGTATCTTCTGTAAGTTTACTGATCATTTTGTTTACTAAGTCCATTATGTAATGAGTTATGTCATCTTTGAACTTGCTCAGCATCATATTGATCAGTATTTTTGTCTCCTCTTTTTTATTTTATATAATTTAGCTGTTTGTCTTTTGATTCCTGCCCCATGGATGAGGGAAGTTGGGAAATTTTGGAGGCATTTTGTTGCCTTGCTAATATTTTTTGTGTGTATGTGTGTGTGTGCACATGCACCCACACTTGGGCTGAGGTTTGTAAGTCGATTATAGTGGTACGACTTTATCCCAAGTAGGGAAACTTCTTTAGTTAGTGTATGCTTTTCAGTGATGTACTCTGATCATGGGTAACTCTAGGCTTTTGTCTCTTACCAAGCCACCTCCGTTAATTGGGGAGTGGAGGGTGCAGTGTAATTGGCCCACCACCCAGTTCTTTGGAAATGAACCACAGTATTATTGATGATATAAAGAAGCACCAAATATTGGCATATAGTAAAAATGAATTAATAGCAACAACTAAGCTACCTTGGAAATAATAGCAAAATCAGCCATAGTAATAGTCAAAGACAAACTGGATATTGACATACCATAAGAAATAATAAAAGCTACTACTGTATCACCCTTAACCAGAAGAGGTTTATAATTATAATTTAGGTAGACACAAAATTTGACATACAATAAACATATACTAAATCCAACAACTATATCACCATAATAGAAAGGAATTCAATAATAATAGCAATATAACTAACTAAAACATAAAGATTAATAAATCTTAATAGTAATACTAGCAAAGATGGAAGGATTGGGAAATGGGAGAATGAAAGAAGTAAAATTTGAAAAAT